CACACACACACACACACACACACACACACACACACACACAGGTGTAACAAACTGTAGCCCTCCGGTCAAGCATCCAGTTCCAGAGAAAATCTCAAACTTCCCCTCATAAACGCTTCACACACACACACACACACAAACCGTCACAGACGAACACTAAAGGGTAAAAACTCAGACAGGTCAACGTTGGGATAAAACATTAGGATGAACTAAATAAATAAATAAAAAAACTGAAATAAAGGGTGGGAATTGAAGCAGAACTCCGGCAGCACGAGCAGAAAAAGACACAAACTTAAGAAGGATCTGAACAGCTACAAAGATACCAAGAGAAACTTCATTATCATCGTCATCATCATCGTCATCATCATAATCATGAGAAGCTTAGGATTACTTTTTTCTTCCAATGACAAATACTTAAAAATATACATTTCATCATCATCATCTTAATTATTATCATCATCATTATTATTATTATTATTTCCCTTTGGATAGCTGAGGTTAATGCTTCAAAAAAGTGGCTCACTAGGTGACAAAGGAGGGCAGACAGGGAGATGCAGTGGAGGTTTGTTGCTGGAAAGAGGATCAAGTTTGAGCTCTTTGGTTTTATTCTTTAACATCTGACTTTGCTTTGCTGTGTTGCTGGAGAACCTTTGGACTAAAGCTGTATTGTAGGAAAGAGAAAGAAGAGAGAGAGAGATGTAGAAGAGGAACAGCGTGGACGTGTGGATGAGAGTGGGTGGAGGAAGATGTAGCAGCTTTTGTTGAGTTTGCTCTCTTTGCCTCTCACTTTTTATAGGAAAAAAAAGAAAAATGTTTGATATATCTTGTTTTTTGGGGGGAGGGCTTTGAACACAGGTTCTTCACTTGATTTCCAGTCATTTAAAAAATAGTTTAAGGTATTTGCAACAAAAGAAGGAGTACCAGAACTAATGATGCTGTGACACCCAGATTTAGCTTAGCTTAGCATAAAGTTTGGAAACAGGCGGAGGAGTTAGCATTGCTCTGCCTGAATGAGGCGGAAATTATGAATCACTGCTGATTCAAAGCGTTTTGTTTGGTTCACTGATTTTAAAGTTTGTCCTAAAGAAGCTTTGAAATGCACTTTGACACAATTCAACTTTAGCTTCACCTGCTTCACCGAGCTCAATTTACCTCACAACTTTGTGTCGTTTCGTTGGCTTTCGCTGTCCGCTGGTATTCCTTTAATCTGAGGGTGAATCAAGACAGAGCTGAAAGCAGAGGTTTCGGTCACTCGGCAGCTTTGGTGTGAAAAATGTGACGGCAAAGTCAGGTTTCTGCTGCAAATCAAATGAAACTGTGGCGTAAAACGTGTCCATTTATCATCCTTTCACGCTGTGTTACACTCTAAATTTATATAACTCTAAATGAACACACCTCAACATGCTCATTTAGGTAAACTTTTCCCAATTTGAACAATCTGAACTATAATGTTAAGATTTTTGCAAAAAAAAATTTTTTAAAGCAGAATTATCCCTTTAAAGCTGATTACAGGGTCGCTGCGGTAAACAGGCTCGATCTATTGCATAAATAATGAGGAGACAGAGGAAGAATATCAGGACTTTGGGGAGTGAGCACATGGTGTTGGAACCCAGAGCGGGGCATTGACTTTGGTATCATTCACTTTAGGGGGTATCCCCACCACAGAGTCCTGCACTTTGCACACAGTCCCTAAAACCCTGAGATTCACTGCAGAATCCTGGTCTGCCTCCACGTTTTACTCAAGAGAGACAAAAAGAGCAAAGCGCTTAAACGGTCTTTGGGTGAGAATTCTGTTTTGCACACCTCTCCCTCCAGTCATTCTCCACACACACACACAGACACACACACACACAAACACACACGTGTCACCTAGTGACCTCAGGGTCAGCTGCTCCCCGGTTCCCTGCCCCGTGGCGCTCCCTGATACAAGCGGACATCAACTGGTCAACATGCCCAYGAGAGCGGGCAGCTTTGGTGATAAATCTGCTCTAAGGCGTAAACCTGGAAGGTTTTTTTTTTTAAAGCTGAAAAACAAGATCCAGATTTGATCTTTGATCTGTGCCAAAGAGTAGCTTGAAGCCCAGAGTCCATGTTTGGGTTAGGGAGGCAGTAAGGGTCAGATGTGAGGAGAGGGCTGGGTTTAAAGCTCAACACAGAAGGTGGGGTGTGTTTCAGGGGAGGTGGGGGCGATGGTGTGTGTGTAGCCTGGAGAAGAAAGCAGTAAAGKTCCTTTTTTCTGACCTTACATGAGTCTATTAAAGCAAAATCTGTTTATCTGTTAGACCCAAACATCTGTTTTCAGCCTGAAACAAATACACCCTCCACACGTACCCACCCCAACACCCTGATCCCCCCGTGTGAAACCCCCCCCATGTTTTAAAGCATTCATCTATTTGGTTTATCATCAAAGAATATGAGGTATATGATGAACTATCTCTCTTTTACATACTACAGTGGATGAAGAAATCATTCAAAAATCAACACAGCAAAGTGGAACCAAAAGCAGACAGAAACGTAAAAAGGAGCAGAGACAAAACAAGAAGATGGTTTTTGGCTCCGTCTTCTGTCCCTGTCACGTAAAAACACTTTTGCCTTTGCCCCAATCAACTCTCTTCTTTGTCTTCTCGTGTTTTTTGGTTTGTGTCGCTGTAAAGCTTTCAGTGTGTTCTCACTTTGGAGAATAGAAAAAGAACGGAAGCAGCACTGTGCCTCGAATTACACGCCACGACGTGACTCAGGCTTGAATCGCAGTCATGCTTTCTTATCTAAAACTGATCGTCACCCCTGTCTAATAACAAGAAAGCACAAAGGAAAGTGTACGAACAGAAAGCTGCCAGCTCAAAAATCTTTCCTGTAAAGTTCAGCGAATCGTGAGGCGCTTGTCTTGCACAGTGCCGCCAGTTTTTGAGCTTTGCTTCACGACTCTTGGATGCATTTTTTGGTAACATTTGGTTCAAAAAGTAAACTTCAGCGCAGGGGGCAAAAAGCAAAACATATAAATAAAAATTCAATTAAAAAATAACAAAAATATTAATTACAAATACATTAGAAAATATGAACCAAAAAGCACCTCTAGAAATAAATTAACAAATAAATACCAAGACAAAAAAAGAGATAAATCAACTCTACCCTGAATAAATAGTACAATCAAAAGTCTAAATAATGATCAATAAGAAGAAAACAAAAAGTCCTAAGAGAGATAGTTAAAATTTTTGGTCTAAAATCAAGTTATAATCATCAATGTTTTTAGGATTTTTTTCTCAAAGTCTTTTTTTGTCATTTTTTTTCTTCTTTTCAATACATTAGCGATAAGGAAGCAGTAGAACATAGATCTTTTTCTACAAAATCTATAGAAGCACTAACAGATACATTCCATCTAAGAGTCAATGTGGAGGAAAAAGGTTTCACCTTCGACCCCACATCTAAAGCTTGAAAACAATTCTCTTGTGTCGACTGTTTTTTTCCTGAAGTGGATCGAAACGAATATTCTTTGGATACAACGCCGACGTCACTGAGGCCATTTTTTTTTWAAATCTTCGCTGTGAGGGTATTCTTAAAGCATCGTTTTTAGTCTTTGGGATTTTTTTTTAAATTACAAGACATCACTGCAGACCCGACTCGTTTTTAAGTCTCTAACACTTACATACAGAAAACGCACAGTCGCACCTAAGACAGATCAAGCCATTTCTTCGCCCTCCCCTCCCCCCAGGGTTGAGAGAGCAGCTCTGTTTGGTTTGCTTCGGTATTTGGTTTGACGATTTCGAGATTTTGCGGTTCAAACGTGTTTTTTTTTTCTATTTGGCTTTTGTGTTTTTCCTTTTTAAAAAAACATGTTTCCTGCCAAAACAGTCTGTTTCTTTATCTAATAAAAATCTGGAAGCTAAATTTTCACAGTATTTTTTTCTCTCCCCCCCTCCCCCCAACCACCTGATAATAAAAATCTCTAGCACAACTACGAAAAAAATAAGGAGCTCTTGTAGTAATAAGTAAGCGAGTACGTTATTCCAAATAAGTAATAATAAGCACTAAAAGTACAGTACGTAAAACGGCATCAAGAGACACAGCAGAGATAAAACAATCAGAACCGATCAACAAAATCAAATCAAAGGTTTCTTTTTTTTAAAATAAGGATTTCAGTTCAGTGAGGTCATTTGCGTTTATCTCCATCCAGGACCAGAGGGCTGAGCTGGAGAGAGGGAGGTAGAGGAGGGGAGGAACAGTCTGTCCTTCGTCTGCGTCTTCGTCCCTCTGTCCACAGTTTCAGCCCTAAAGCTAAGAGACGGACAGGCAGGCGTCGTCCGATCCTTCAGCACTTTGTCCTCCTCCCCTCCTCCCTCCAGCCACATTTGGTTTGGGTTATTTTTGGTTTGCTTCTTGTCATTCCTTGGTTTGTTTGTTTTTTTGGTATGGGTTTGTTTTTGGTATCCTCTTAAAAAAAAGGTGTGACACCTGCTCCCTTCACCCCGTCTTTGTTGGGGGGAGTGGAACATCAGTTCCCCCGTGCATTTTTAGACAGAGCAGGTGAAAGGGAATTTCACCAAAAAGGGGTGAAGTGAGGGGGCCTTTGCAGTGGTAACATCCTGTTCTCAGCCCCCACCAGACCTCTGCTCCCACCACCACCAGTGAGTCTTTATTGTGTTTATGTCTCGGCTCAGGCTTAAGAAGAGCCCTGCCTTGATAATGCTTTGGTATCTATTTGAGGATTAATGGCAGTGCGAGGTGGAAAATGGCAGTGAGATGTGAGCGATGATGGAGAAACAGACAAATGTCAGTAAACGCACAGAGACATACAAGGTGTGGGAGGCCGTCTGCGCTGATTGACGAGGCAGGAATCAGAGCCAGCTGTGACTAAACTTGGCTTTATTGACTTATTTAGCCCTCGGCCTCAAGGGTGATTTCTTTCTATCAACAATCAGCCCCATTTCATACTTTGGAAAACGGGTCTCCACTCTGCTAACAAACATTTTCAGTGTGTGAAGTTTCCAGGGCGTGTTCATTTAGCCACGGAGCCTCTGGGTAATAATGTTTAAAAGTGGAGCGCAGATGAAGTGAGCAAAATGTTTTGCGTCGTAATGAATTCATTCACGCCCTGAAATCAACACGAAGTGTGCCAACTCGATCTGCAAACTATCGGCACTTGGTGAGGACCGAGATGAGCATCGACCACATTCGTCATCTGTGTTCCTGAAGGGGTGTCATGTCACAAATACACTATGATGATGATGATGATGCTGATGGTACAAATGAAGACAAATGAAAACAAGGATGATGACAGTGATAGCAAAGCTAAAACTACAATCGAGCACAACAATAAATAGGAGCTGAATTGTAAAAGGAAACTAATAAATAATAGGAAAACACATCTCAAACTACACTTTTGTCAAAAAATAACAGGATTTTCTGACCCAAGAGGAGAAATGTGCGCTATTCTATGCTCTCATAACCAGAGGTAGGTAAAGAGACAGCAGTTCTAGCAAACGTTCATGACAAAAATGCAACAATATTTTAAAAAAATGATCGTACAAAATATCAGACACACATGAGCTGACACAGACGGGATGAGTCGATGACAGGATGGGCTGGTTCTTCATGTTTGTGTGTAAATGTGTGTGTGTTGCAGTAGAGTCCTGGTCCTGGATAGCTTCAGTATTTACACGTCCTTTGAATAAAGCTTTTCTCTCCGTATTTTTGGTTTTTGGTATTTGTGATTTTGGTATGCTTGTCATTTTTTTTGGTCTTTTTTTTTGTCACTGTGTATTCGTCCGCCGCCTCCTCCTCAGGTAAATTTTTGGTTTAAACGTATCCTCCCTGCTCTTCTTCTTTCAAACCCACAGCTTTGCAAAATAACATTGTTAAAAAAAAAAGAAAAAGCACGTAAGCATAGTCCTTCTCTTCTTCTTTTCCTTTTTTTTTTGTTTTGTCCATGACACCATTCCCATGTCTTCTCGTAAAGTTATCTTTTGTCATTTTTGGTTTATGCACTTCGACATGCAGATCCGCCGTCTCTTCCAACTCTTTATTAAAAAGTCACTGGTTTTTTTTTTTTTTTCCTTCAGAGAGAAAGAGTGGAGGCGTGCCATGCCGATATCGCAGACAAAAATGTCCCACGATGTCTCTGTTTCATCTGTTTGGATAGATAAAGATTTTTGGTTTCAATCTTCCTCTTTCCTCCCTTCTCTCTTCTTCTTTCCCTCCTTCTCTCCTCTTTCATTCTGTGTATTTTTGGCATTGAAAGACTGGGAGAAAAGAAGGGAGAGAGCCATTGCAGTAAAGCTAAAACTAAAACAATGGAAGAAGAGCGCGCGAGAGAGAAAGAGATAGCTTTGGTGTGAAAGGCGAGGTTCCTCCGTTCTCCTCCTTTCTGATTGGCCCCGGGTGTGGTCACTCGATCTTGGGCCCGCCCAGGGAGGACGGGCTGTGTGCCATTTCGCTGGAGGAGCAGGAAGAGGCGGGGCTGGAGCAGGGGGACGGGGAGCAGGGTGTGGGGCTGATGCTGCTGGCTGAGGGGAACGGGGAGGCCTGGGACACTTTGGCTACGGCGGCGCTGATCAGTCCAGCGCCGGGGTTCTGGCCCATGTGGAGGAGGGTGGGGTGGTTGAGGAAGAGGGAGGAGGGAAGGCCACCTCCTTGGCCCCCGGTGGCCCCCAGCATCACCTTGCTTCCGCCTTCAAGAGTGGAAAGAGGCAGCTGGCCACCACTGGCTGCTAGGGCTGAAAGAAAAACAAAAAGCCATTACTGCCGCGTTTTCAGAAGAACAATTCAGCTTCAGCATGGAGATCATTTTTTGTTTCTTTCAATTTTCGGCACACATCATTCTGTAATTTTTGATCTGTTTCAACAATTTATATATCAAAACCTTCAGCTCATTCAGGACATTCCARATATGACTTTTGGTAATTCAGCAATTTATACTTTGTAAAATATTTAGCGTTATCTGCCATTTTGTCCCTAATTTTAAATGAATGGAGCTATCACCAGCCTTAAAACACTTTGAAAAGTTAACGATTATTATTGGCAGCACGATGGCTCAGTGGTTAGCACCAACGCCCCACAGTAAGAAGGTCCTGGGTTCGATCCCCGGTTTGGACCTGGGGTCTTTCTGTGCTGAGTTTGCTTGTTCTCCTCGTGCTTGCGTGGGTTTTCTCCATGTACTCCGGTTTCCCCCAGCCCACAAAAACTTACAATAGGTTGCCTTCAGGCCCAGGCCTCCCTTGAAAAAAAGATCWGAGATCTCAATGGGACTTGCCTGGTTAATGAATGGTGAATAAATAAATAAATAAAGCTTTACTATGTTTTTTTTGTTCTGGTTCTGCTGTTTTTGACTTTTTATGCAAATTTCAGCAGCTACCTTTGGCTTCTATTTTGCTGATTCTAGTTTTTTTTTCCTGCTTTATTTTAGCTATCTGAACTTTTCTGCTGTTCTGCTAATTTCATTTTTTTCTTCTGCTACTTTAAACTTTTCTTTCCTTTCACTTCCTTCCTTTCCTTTCATCCCCTTTCAGCTAGTCCTTTTACATTTTATCTGCATATTTCTGCATTTTCAGCTATTCTCTGCCCCTTGAAGGTTTTTCCTTTTTTTTTTTTTTTTTTTTTACAGTTTTATGTTTCAGCAAATTTCAGCAACTATCCAGCTAATTTTGGGTTCCACCTCAATAGTTAAAATTTAGCAAGCACTAATGTTTCAGTGTTTAAAAATCTTTCAGCTTCTTCAGCAGCTTTCAGCTAAATCACTCAGCAATAAGCATTCACACTGCATTTTCACAGGAAATGCTATTTTTCTAGATGACGTCCCTGTTGTTGTTTGTGTACTCTTTCTTTGATCGTGTGACCTAAATTTATCCTCGTTCATCTTCTTCGTCATTACCTGATGTGAGTCACCGTGCAATTGTCTGATGGGAGTCGTGCGCACGAAAGCAGAGTGACATGATAAACCAAACATAAACCTGACTGCTGCTGTCATTTCACAGTGTGAGTCTGAGGTGGATCACACTCACACAGGAGGGACGTTTTAATAATCTCTCATTAGAACTAATGTCATAAACTTATTGATGTCTATCTTTAGCTGTATTACTCATGCAGCCTTTTATAAATTGGCAACATTTGTCTTGAGATACTGCTGCATAGATATTGTGTGTTTTTAAATATATCTATTTCTTTTATTAAGCTGTTACACGTTATGCTTTCTCCTCGTAAGGCTTTAAATTTGGATGGCTTGCCTGTATGAGATTCAACTCATTAGGTTAAGATTTGGTGACTTATTTTTATTACATGCTGCAGAATCATGTTTTACATATGAAAACATGCTTAATTAACATGTGACATACATGAAATAGGAATCATGTAAATCATGCTTATACCAAATTACGTAATTTTTGCTGGTGAAGATTTGTTTTACACGTGTGATTTTAGAGCATTTTGTGTCATCTGGTTTTTTTGCATGTGATCCTGGTGAAAAACAAGGTGAATTCAATGAGCTATACTGACTAGAGGCGTTATCGCATACCTTTTCATGGTTGGAGAGAGCGGCCATATTGTTCAGGGCGAGGACAACTAAACAGACTGACAACTGTTATTTTGATTTGTTAGAAATGCTTTTCAGTACGTATTAACTTATCAGGAAAAACATGTTGCCAACAGGTCGGCAGAAGCTAATCAACAAAAAACTAAATTTTATCTGCAATTTTACGCAGAAATCTAGCCGTGTTAAGTTGATAGCATTGATGACCCGCCCCTTCCAATATGGTGTTGCTCTTGTACCACAGTGGCCAATGTTCTAAAGCAGTGTTTCTCAAAGTCGGGGTCGGGACCCAAAGTGGGGTCCCGAAACATCAGGTTGGGGTCCTGAAAAAAGTTTCTGAATTAATTACATTTTTGCCTTAGTTGTTACAAATGAGTGAGGTTAGTGTATTTAAAATGGATAAATGTAGTATAAAAATATTTTTACAATGCCCATGTTTAGTTGACCTGATACAAATGTTTATCATCCAAAAATATCTGGGGGCACAGGTCTCTGCTACTGTTATTTTGTGGGTCAAAAGCTGAAAAGTTTGGGAACCACTGCACTTTGGTTCCCAAAGTTGTGATTGGGACCCAATTATGGGTCATGAAGCACCTTGGATAATCTCCAGAAATCAATTTAAAGGGTAATAAAATGTTTGCTGATGTAATATTTTCCCTATAATTATTACAAAAACACAAAATAAGTAAAAATAAGTATTTATATTTGTGTATAAGCTGTTTAGATTGTCAAAAAGCCTGTGTTTTTAGGGTTATTAAAAAAGTTCATGTACTCAGACCAGTAATATTTGGGGTCACAAGTTTTTGCCATGGATATTTTGTGGGTCAGAAGACAAAAAATTTGGGAACCATTGTTCTAAAGCATGTGACACCAGTCAATATACCTCATTGAGTATGTTCATGTCTTGTTTTGTTTTTGTTTTTGTCTCATTCCTGTGTGAATTTTTGCCACGTATCAAAATTAATAAAAACAAGTTGTGTTTTCCCGCCTAAATTACTGTTTTTAGCCAAAACATCAAAAGTGGAGTTTCCGCACAAAACTCTCATAAACTGAAAACAAAATAAAACCCAAGGTTTGATTTTTCTATTTTGGAAGAGAGCAACTCACAATTAACGGGTAATGATGAGGACAAAATGACTCATGAAGACATTTCAAACATTTCAAACTTAAAGGTCCAGTTTTCAAGATTTAGTGGCATCTAGTGGTGTAAACTCTACATTGTTACCCTTCTCACCTTCTCACAGTCCTGTCCTGATATTTAACACTCAAAGCTCTAACCGTAGCGTTTACTTGTGGAAGTTCCTAAACTTTTTTCTTGTCAGCTCTACCCGTGTGCTTGGTTGAACTTTAATGCATAAGTGTGAATCTTAAAAGCCTCAGAAAGTGAGTCATAAATTTAACATACTGTAAGGTCATGAGTCACCAAGAAACAGTTTTCCAAAAGCGAAAAACTTCAAAATGAGATTGAGGAAAGAAAATATGTATTTTTTTTGTACATTTATTGACTGTGTTTACGTAGGTTATGCAAAGTGAAATGTAAAAAGAAAAGAAAAAAACATGGAGCTGTAAACAGGAAACAATCTTTCGAGATGTTTGTAATAACGATGATTCAAAACGGTTTTCAGGTTTCTTTCCCTGTGAAAGTTAAACTTCACTCATATATAACATTAAAACATCTTGGTTTTGAACTGACAGTTTAAAAAAACTCCTATATTCCCTTTTTTTAGCTAACATGTGATAAAGACTTATAATTATGGAATGCAGCATCTTCACCAAGACAATAATTAGAAGTTAGACGCAGCTCTGCGGAAGGTTAACTGACACAGGAGGTGTGTTGTTATAGAAACAAGTTGCAGATTTGATATTTTTTCCACCTTGTGAAGCTTTCATTCTCACTAAGAGCTTCTTTCATAAGCAGAGCGAAACATGTGCACAAAGACAGAAACTATCAAGCATTCCAATGGTCTCTATAACCTCTAAAATGCGAAAAGGGATGATTGTGTTTTTGCCGGCCTCTCTCTGTGCGTATATCTGTCTGTTAGCAAAATATCTCAGGAACCACTGGACAGATTTTAATGAAGCTTGCAGAAAGTAATCACTGGATTACTTTCTGATTAACTTTTGGAATCAGCTTAATTGAAGATGGCTGCCATGACCGACTGGCTTTAAGAAACACAAAAATGTCTATAAATATGTCAAATTTACAAATACTGACCCAAAACTTGGCATGGTAGTAGCTGAGAGTCATTCACAACACATACTCTGAGCATGACATGTTGCAAGTTTCCAAAATGATTTTTTTTTTCAGGTTTACTGGCTAACAGTCAAGTTCAGAATTGATTTTAAATTTTTAGTTTTGAGTTTTAGAACACTTAATGGACAGTATGCTCAGTACATTACAGAAATGTTGACTCCCTACTCTTCTGGCCRTAATCTTCGGTCTGAGGCCAAAATCTTCTAAAGGTTTCTAAAACTACATTTAAAACTCGAGGGGATCTGCCCATTTAAACAAGAGCTCCTAGAGTGTGGAACACCCTGCCCCTGTGTCTCCATGAGGCTGAATCCGTTCACTTCTTTAAGAAGCAGCTGAAGACACTCAGACAAGATTTTAGCTAAATGTATTAATGTTTTATTTTCATATTAACTTGTTTTATTGTATGCTTTTATGGTGTGTTGTATGTTGTATTTGTTTTATCTCTGCTCCTTGTGATGTTTATCTGTGAATGGTGCTATTCAAAAAAATAACTTACTTTACTTACTTAAACAAAACATCCAAAATGTCATTTTATTAACATGAGATGGTTACAGTCTAAACTCTGCATGAAAGCTAATGGATGATGTGCATTCCTTGAAGAAATTTATTAAAAAAAAATATAGACTTAAATGCAATATGACCCAAAGTTGTTTGTCAGTGTTTGATGGCTGGATGATTGCTAAAAGTCACAAAATAATATTAAATATACATGTTTATATAAACCATGAAGCGGTATAGAGACTGAAAGAGGTTAGTGGCACTTCAGTGATGAAATGAAAGGCTAAAGATGAGTGAAACAGCACACGCACAGACAAAAACACAAACCTACACATTAGCGTAAGCACCATCTCACACACACTTGGCGGGATGGCTTAATGATCGCAGATGAGAACGAACAAAGAAAAAAACAAGTTATTTATCTTCTCCAGGGCTCTCTCAGCCTCAGCTGTTTCATGTTGTGGATGAGCAAACACACTTGGCTGCCTGCTCAGCCGTGTCTCCAGTCGGTAGTCGGCCAGCGCGCCTTGATTCACCCACCATGTGTAACTGTATTAGTCATCATCACACTTCTCTTTTTAACACCGCTCCTCCCTCCTCTCTGCCTAATTATACGAAGTATGACTAAAAACAAGCTGTGCTGAGCTGACACTGGTTTGCTGGGGGGGTGGCGGGGCGGTCGGGTGGGGGTGTCACTGCTCAGGGACCCACGGTGAGTTTTCTATTTTTTTTTCCTGTTGTTTGTTTTTCGAGTGTAGGAAGGTGTATAAGGGGAGGTGTCATGGACAGTGTGTGCATGTGAGTTTCAGCGCTCATGTATGTGTGGGAGTGTAAGAGAGCAAGGTTTGTAACTGTTTAACAGGAGGAAAATACATGAAAATGTGCAACTTTATGGTTTCTTTTGTAACGTTTTTTTCCCTCCAATATTAGCCTTAAATCTCTCAAACCTCAGCAATGCTGAGGTCTTTTTCAGTCCTGCTACGCTGATTAAACTTATTTATCTCTGTTTTTCTTCCTTTCTTTCACACTCACACACACACACACACACACACACACACACACACACACACACACACACACACACACACA